TCCCACCAATATTGGCACCATTTTAAACCCCAGTTCTAAACTTCATTTCATTAAAGGAAAGATTTTTACCCCAAAAATGTGTCTTTAGAAGGATCCAGAGTCACTTCTTCAAAAAATAGGTAGTTACGAGGACACGTGAGATCATTATTTGGTTTTATAACCATAAAAATTGGTCTAATTGATCCCAGAGGTGAGCCCAAAGTGAGGTCTTTTTTCAAGTCACATTTATGGTATATGTTAATCATTTATTAAGAAATTAAATGTGTTTTTCTTTAAGGATATTTATTGGGCTTTCAAATAACATCAATATTGTTGGGGCACCATGATTGTGTCAGAAGAAAATCTTTAAAGTTCGCGTCGCGGAAGGTGCGATTTATTTGATGTTGAGTGTATTAATGAAGTGACAGAGCATACAAATCTGAAGTCTCGCTGACATTTAACGTAACAAAAAGCACAAAATCCACCTCAAGCACTGACTGAGTTATGAGCGAGTCCTAAACTTGAAGGTTAAAACAATTTCATTGCTATTTTCAGATTCCCAAATCTACGCAATGTTACGCAAGGGTATGGCATGACGGAGACCACTGGCTCTATCACCAGAGAACTCGACTCAGCACCAAAACAGGGCAGTGTTGGTTTTATTTCTGAAGGAATCATTGTTAAGGTAAGCATTTTGAAATCATATTCAGATGGACAACAACAAAAAAAGGTTTTGAAATACCTTTACAGTCCTAAAAAAACTGAAACTTTTTATATAAGTAGGGTTGTAACAATTCGAATGTTATCAAACACTGCTCTTTAGGTGAGGGGTACAAGGGATAAGGGCATGCATGATAAGTTCATACCGTGTGTACATGTCTGTAATTTAAAACGACGGAAAATCCATAGCAATCCCCTAATCTTGATTCTTTTACAGGTAGTAGATGTAGAGACTAGAAAAGCACTAGGCCCTAACGAGCGAGGTGAGATATGCGTAAAAGGGTTGGTTCTCTTCAACGGATATATTGGGAAGGAGCGAGGTGACGACTATGATGATGATGGATTCTTCAAGACTGGAGACATTGGCTATTATGATGAGGAAGGCTTTTTCTTCATAGTTGACAGGATAAAGGAGTTAATCAAATACAAAGCTTGGCAGGTTAGTAATCATTAAACTATTATATCATGATTTTTCGTTAGATAAATAGGTATCATAAAATAGGCTACGTAAGCCATCTTCGGGCACACCAGCGCCGCCAAGACAACTAGGAGTCGGAGTGGTCGCCATGGCCGAAATCGGTCGGATGGATCATCATCATCAGATATCATTGGATTTCATCTAGAAATAATATGTATAGATAGGCCTTTAACACGTTTACGTGAAATAGTTTTTGAGTTATGAGGGGGTCAAAAGTGGCTCCAAATGGTTTGTGTAACATTACAAACGGTGCTGCTCGCCAGTTATGTTACTTGAACTTGGCTTGACACGCTACCTAGATTCGAAAATATATGATTTAGTTTATTTTTAATGAATTTTAACGATTACTAACGTCTTATTTTGTCTGTTACATAAAATATTTAGCAAACTATTCCACTATTAGGTATAATATTTGTTACATAACAGATATTAATGGAAAGTCACTCACTCGTACAACGATGTGTCAGTAACACCAACTTCTGCTATACAATGCCGTGTTACGAGTATTTCAATAGTTCTTGTATAAATCCAAAGTGGAATTGTTTTGTACACCGGTGTAGAAGAAAATCAAAACTAAAGATGTTGATTTTCAACACTCGTATACGTGATAACTGAAGCCAAGAGTTACGATGTTACTGCCTAAATAAATTGTAACTGTATTAGTTCATATTTTATACCCGTTAATAATTTCGGGAACTATTTCTGTTTTTGTACAATAATAATATTATGTATTTTCTAACGCAATATTTTATATCGCAAAATCTAGGATTAGTCACATTCCTGGAATAAAAGCTAAACATTATTATTCAGTGGATAAAGTAAGAAGAATCTATAGTAATAATAAAATGTTAAAAAAATACAATTGTGATTTTTTCAGATTATTTCGCAGAATTTGATACCTATAAAAGCGACGCTATTGACTAATATAATAATACTAAAGTTTGTATTTTTTTCTCTCGTAATATCAGAATTCGATTCGATTCATCAAGAATAATAATTTTCAATTTTTCAAAAAGCATTTGTAGTTTCTAGAGACTCAACTCTCCGTGAAATCATTAGAGTTAGCGCCCGTATTCACAAACATTACTATGAGGTCTCACAGTGCGCGAAATACGAACTAATCACAGAGCTCTATTCAACGCTGTGCGTTCGATTTGCTGATTCACTTAAACAAGTATCGTTTGTATTAGTGTTAATTAAACACAAACGCAAAAGCATTTATTACGATTGGCTTGATTACTTTTTTTTACATTCCAGGTCTCACCAGCAGAACTAGAAGCTGTGGTGTTGCTGCATGAAGCAGTGAAAGACGTGGGCGTAATCGGCACTCCAGATCCCACTGCTGGAGAACTTCCCACTGCGTTTGTAGTGAAGAAACCAGGCTCAAATGTTTCGGAGAAAGATATCATAGAGTTTGTAAGTACCAAGGTGAGTTCATTTTATTTCAGCTTGACCATTAATTTATTTAGCCTTAATGTTATGTGTTATAAACGGTTTATAACATAACATGTGTAACATGTTACAGTGTGACTCGTTGGGGAAAAAAATCCCGTCAAGTCATAGTGTTACTCGTTAGAAGAATGTTTGTCTCACACTTCAACTTTTGTACAAGTAACATAATCTTATTTTGTGAGAAATAAATGAAAGGGTTCCAACCTCCCAAACGGGCTGCACTTGAACCCTCCAGGTAAAATATACATTTCCCTCCCAGCGTTGAACGGTAAAAATATTTTAAAAGAAAGTTAAATTGGATTATATGGTTTGTGGGATAAAAGTTTTGCAGTAACGGGAAATGTTGGAAATGTTAAATTTTAAGAATCTGTGTTAACATTAAATTAGTCGTTCCATGAAAATATTAATTACGAGCTTGATTTTATATTCAAACGCGTTTTCTTTTAAAGTTGCTTTTGAATAATGTATAATTTAATTAATTGACAACTACACGCGCTCTTTACTAGGTATCCAAATACCATAGGCATACACCTACGGCACACGTATCATGTAAAATCGACTAGGTAGTTCTTTATAGAGTCCACCCCACCTTTACAAAATAATGATCATCCCCAAATTTAATGACTTCTGCACTTTCAACCCTTAACTATTCATTATTATTTTTGAAGGAATAATAAATATCTTACAAATAATAGTGCACATTTTGCACAAACTTTTTATGTATGTTTTTTTTTTGTCTCTTTGGTGTACTATGTGTTTAGGAATTTCTATAGGTATGGTTGTTTTTCTGTTATCCGTACACACACTGTGAAGTTTTTTACCAGTTACAATGAAAAGTGTGTACGTTTACTTTAAAAAATTTTGTACGACACACATTTTAAAAATGTATCAAATCATACAATTTATGAACTGACCCATGTCTAGAAGTCACCTTCCTACTAATATTGTAAATGTAAAAGTTAATAAAGATTGATGAATTGAAGGATGGATGAACCGATGATAGGATAGGAAGAATGAATGGGTGGATATAAGCCTTGAACTTGAACTAAGTGAGTGTGGATTCATGGTTAGATCGATTGATGTTTTTTCACTCTTTTACGCAAAAAATACTAAGCCGATCTTAATAAAACTTTGCAGTTTTATTGTTAGTACTTCAGAATAACATAATATAGTCTATAATTTACAATAATATTCAGTTATTTGGTCAAATAACAACGATAGGTGTCAAGAAATTAGGTCTTTATATGATAAACTTAATTTCTCACTAGGTGAAGTCACAGGCAAAAACTAGTACAACATATTTACATTTCTGCATTGTGACGAGTCACCTAAACGTTCCTCACCTCTCCATTCTCGTATCTCCTCGAAACAAGGACTCTTCATCGAATTATTGTTGCAAATACCAGGGTGGGACAAAAATGACCCAGTGGCGCTTCTAGGTAAAACCGATTTAAAAAAAAATTTTAATGATGTTATATTATCAAAAACATTAAAAAATGATAAAATTCAATAAATCAGGAAAAGTCAAAAAGTTTCATGGACTTTCGTTGAAAAATAAAAAAGTTAGAGACGATCAAACTCGCGAGTGGGACAAAAATGGGACGGCGGCCTTTCTAGTGTTAAAGTAGTAATTTCATAATTTTAATACAGTATAACACCATGTAATATGTGACTATTTTTATATGAAACCAAAAATATCTGTCTTTTAATAATTCAAAATTAAATTGAAAACATTTATATTTTTAAAGAAATAAGTACATATTGATTTAACTATATAGATAAACCTTTTTTTAAGGATACTACAAATAGTTTTAACCATAATATTCATGCCTTAAACTAAAAAATGTTACAAAATATATGCTGGGACAAAATTGACCCAGCGGCGCTTTTAGGGGGGTCGTAATCTTCGGCACTTCTAGTGTTAAAGTAGAGTGCAGAATCAATTGAGGAAATAAGTTTATTAAATAGCGCTATCGACTACTAGTATACTACTTTAATAACAGCAAATCTTTAATGGAGAACGTCATAAACTTATTATCACATATTTCCAGGTGTCGCCATGGAAACGTCTCCGAGGCGGCGTGAAGTTTATCGACGAGATACCAAAAACTGGCAGCGGCAAGATACTGAGAAGAAAACTACGCGAACTGATACCCAAGAAAGTTGCAAGCAAACTGTGATTGAATTAAATGCAACGGAAAAGTAGCTGGATTTATTGAAAAAAAATTACTCGCTGAGATCTCATTTTCTACCGAAATATGTATTAGTTCTTCTTAAGATTTGTGTAGTATATCAAGTGAAATAAACGTATTTTAACTTAAAAATGATTATCACTATCAGCATTCCTAATCTTGAGTCAGACCACGAGTACGTATCTTATTTAATCATTTGTTTGACAAAATGTGTGCGGATAAGACGTCACGCGTGATGATAAGTGTAGATGTTAACGGTGTTTTACCTTCACATTTGAACTATGGCGCTTTTATTTTGGAACAAATCTCGAATCTTAATGAAAAAATTGCATTTGTAAGTATTACCTCTCTCTAAAATTTTTCAAAATATTCTTCATGCTAATTATTATTGTGTAAAACTGAACAATTCTCAATTACTCATTGATCGCTCAATATCACAGCTCACCACAATCCGTTGTGGTTATTGTATCAATGTTAAAATTCACTTAATTTGTTCCCTGAAAAATAAATCGAGTAGTTTTTGAACCATGATTTTACTGACCGCACAATCATAAATTGAAAAGTATTTTTTTTAAGAAACTAGCTGACCCGGCGAACTTCGTACCGCCTTAGCGTAGAGATTTTCTTAATATTTTTTTCCGTAAGAACCATCCTTGGACTTCCACAAACATTTAAAAAAAAGAATTATCGAAATCGGTTCAGCCGTTCACACGTGATGCCGTGACAACGCGAAACGGGTTTCATTTTTATATATATAGATAATTCTCATTTGAATGATCCAAACTCGTTTAAATAATTGCAAATCTCTCCTTGTTACGTATCACACATTTTGTTTCTAAGATCAATGGAGCAACAGACGAACAAATAAGTTTCGGTGAGATAGAACAACAAATAGTGAACGTTTCGTCATCGTTAACCAAGTTGGGGGTGAAGCCAGGAGATGTGGTGGCCATCTGCAGCGAGAACAGGCCAGAGTTCCTGATCTCGGCTATAGCAGCACTGTGCAGCGGAGCTGTGATTACTTTCATCAATAGTGCTTACAATAGAGGTATAAGGGGTTTTTTTATGCAGGACAAGGCAGGTATTTTAATACGATAAAGGGTTTAATCCAGCTGCGTAGAATGATTTCAAAAGTTTGGAACAATAAATAAAGAGTTAAATGTTGACGGTTGCTAAGTCAATTTGATATCAGCAGCCCCCCTAGACAAAACGCACTTTTTGATCGAATCGAAAATCGAATCCGTCAAAACTCCATACAAAAAAGGGGCTTTTCGACCACTTTTCGACTGGTTTGCGATTAAAATTTGCACTTTGTCTAGACCCACAGAACGGACGAAGGCACATCAAACCTAAACAATGTGACGTTTTACTATTTTCTCTATATTTTATCTTCGGAAATACCATAATATTTTTGTCCATCACTTTCAGATGAATTGAAGCACACAATGAATATATCGAAACCGAAATACTTTTTCATGTCTCCAAGCACGCTTAAAACCTATTACGAAGTTGTGAGAGAATGTAGACCAAACTGCAAGTACTTTGTATTCGGGGACATAGACAAAAGTATTGGTACCAGCTATGGGGAATTGGTTAGGGTGTATATTGATAGACGGACTTTCCAACCTGTGGATTATAAAGGTAACATAGTAACACTTGAAATAATTACCAAACTTAGTGTTTATGAAAATGCAATTTATCGTGTAGCTAGAAGTTCCTTGTGCTCTTATTTTTCTCACAAGTTTTTTGTATTTCCTTGTCTTTATATTATGTCCAGTTACTAGGTTACTTGAAGCACTTATTTACGCAAATTGTCCCTATATTGATGACTCCATTAACCAATGTCAAATTAATAATTTATTCTTGTACTTTTAAGGACGTGTGGAGACGGCGCTCATACTTTACTCCTCGGGCACGACAGGCCCACCGAAAGGTGCAAAAGTGACACATTCCGGATTGATTATAGCTGGAATGCAGCCTACGTGAGTCCGACTTAATTATTGCCTACTGTAATTACGTTATTTATGGGCAAACCGTTTCCGAGAGCTGACTGACGAGACGTCATAAAACTTTTTTTACGAAAACGAGACAAGGTGATCGATAAATATGTTTTTACCAAAACTTTTCAGATGCAGCAAACGTGATTTGACATTCTTATCAATAGCACCATGGTCAAACACCGTTGGATACATTAACACTATAAGAGAAACCATAAGAGGACGGACCTGCGTTTATTTAAATAAATTCAACGAAGCAACCTATCTAGGAGCGGTGGAAAAACATAAAGTGAGATAATGTTTGCGACAAATTAAAAGAAAATAAACGCGTTGGCATATCGTTATCTGGAACATCTTGACGCTCTCCTTTTTTGTGATGGCGGAGAAGCTTTTTATTCTCGGTGCAAATATTTTGACTCATTTCTATTTGAAACCTTCTTTAAATGATAATTTAAATTTATATTTACTATGATAACATTTAGTTATTGAGTTAAAAAGTTTTTCAACTTTTTAGGCAGGACTTCTAATGGCTGTGCCACCATTGGTCGTAATGTTGGCCAAATCGTCAATTCTAAAAGAATACGACGTCAGCTCGGTCGAACTTGTTTATAGTGGAGGCGCTCCACTAGACTGGAACGTCATTATGGAAATGAAACAAAGGTTTGTGCCATCTTTAAATCAGGGTAGAGTAACATGTGGGTGGGAATTTATGGTCTTTGTACAGACAATTTTACACGACGCGCCCACTTAGGTGTCAAAAACACACATTCATCTTGAAACGGTGGTATGAATAATTACACTGACGCAATTTGAAGAAAAACCACCAATCAATGTTACCTACATACCATTTGACATACCTAATAGATTATTTTAATGTTCTACTGATATTCTAATACTTGGGCCACTTAAAACAAAAGATTTTTGGGTGTCCATAAATCGTGATACCAACTACACAAAAAATATAGTATTACATTCTACAACCTCAAGCATAAAGGATTGAATGCTTTTTTTAATAACGTTGTATATTTTATTTAACTAAACTATGGTGACTAATAAACATAACTTGAGCACATGAACTACATCTATCAGTCCAATCTTCTGTACTATAATATCTCTTACGGCCTGTTACAGGTTTCCGAACTTGAAGCACGTGCTACAAGGCTACGGCATGACAGAAACAACGGGAGTTCTCACTGAGGAACACGAAGGAGTCACTCAGAATGGCAGTGTGGGTAGAGTGGCCCCTGGAAATACAGTTAAAGTACGTACTACGATTATTATGCTGTGGGTTTGAGCTATTTTATTGATGTCCTGATTGTCCACCTTAAGTGACTTATTGAGTCATCTTAGCAATCGAAGTGACTCTCTAGCATAGAAGCTACTCAAGGCGAAATTTCTGGAAATTATATTCGCATTTATAAAAAAAAATATTTTGATACTTGTAACTTCAATTGAAACGACTTTTACTACATTATTTTTTTACATTTTCTCAACAAAAACATACTTGCGTGACGTACGAATTTCCAAGTTCGCAATCTAAAAGTTAGTCTGAAGATTCCACAAAAGCATAAATAAATGTCTTATTTTTCATAGATTGTGGACATAGAGACGAGAAAGATCTTGGGGCCAAATGAACAAGGCGAAGTGTGCGTGAAAGGCCCGGTTTTATTCGCGGGCTACATCGGGAAGGACATGTCCGAATATTTCGACGAGGACGGGTATTACAGGACGGGCGACGTGGCTTACTACGACGATGAGGGGTTCTTTTTTATCACTGATAGGCTGAAGGAGCTCATCAAGTATAAAGCTTGGCAGGTCAGACACTGTTAATAATATTTTTTGCTATTATTTTGACATAGGTAATGTTTCAGTAACAAATTAGAAGATTTTATTTCATATCGCTTCATTTTTCGATGATAAATTATTACTTAATACGGAACTTACTTTTAACTAAATTAGTAAGTTTTTGATGCTTTTATTTAAATTAAGTCTGTTAATAAGTTAAATTATGTAATAAATTAACGTGCCTGCCTATGTGGTCAGAATGAAATGGATCTGAAACATTGTGGCACAAAACTACGAAACACTTATGGATGCTTCACCATATTATACAATCCAATGAATAAAGTGGCTCAGTTCACGTTGCAATTAATTGTAGGTCTACGCAAATCACTACAACATTACATGTAAATATTGCTAATATTATAATTTCGATTTTAATTCTTCAGGTTGCACCTTCAGAGCTAGAAGCCGTGATTCTTCAACACCCCAAGGTGAAAGATGTGGGAGTGATCGGCACACCAGATCAATTAGCTGGTGAGCTACCAACTGCGTTCGTCGTGAAGAAATCAGAAGAATTGACGGAGAAGGAGGTCATAGACTTCGTTGCTTCGAAGGTGATCCTTAAAAACGAAGAATAGGAACTTAATTTTCATGGCGTAGTTACACTATGCGGGAAATTGACCGAAACGAAGCGCGAGCACGCATACCGATGTATGGGCGACTCACGGCGAAACACTGAAGTGCTTGTTTACACTATATGTCTCGATCAATTTTCCGTATACTTACTTAGTGTAACTGCACCATTAGACTACTTTAAATACTCGTATAATAAACATTTTTGCTTCAGCTTTGAACCTAATTATCTTGATTTATTCATCAACTGACGGTATTACATAAGAATTAATTTTACATAATCTTAGAATCGATCGAAGTCGATTAGTTTAAATTGAATTCTAGATGACGTCATCTCTTCACTCTAACCTTTTTCATCCGAGTTATAGTGCAAATATAAAGTATCTATGGAAATGTGTGTGTATAAGATAAGCGAGAAAATTATCACTGTATTCACAAATATGAATTCACTACTTATGTTTGTCTATCGATTTGAATACCATTGATTATCTCGACATCGACTGAATCTACATACATAAATGTTTTCGATACATAAGACTTGCCAAACAGAGCAAACCAAAGGCACCGATCTAGCGATGCTTCAACTAACTTGACATCACATTGAGACGTGAAATCGTACCTTCCTGGTGATTTTTAATTAGAATATTAGAAATAACGTAGCCTACATACCGGCTTTGTAACGAGTAGGTAGGTACATCAGTATCTCGATTACAAACCTATTATAACATTCGACAATCTATTTTCGATTAAAATTCAATAAATTCGCATCGTATGTTACTGGTATACGCTTGTCCAGTTTCAGTGATTTCTGACCTATCCGTCAATCTTATAACAATGACTTGCTACAAATACTCGTAAAAGATATGAATAGATCTAACAAACGACTATAGCTTCACTCTATGATACCGCTTATTATGGTAAACATTTATTATGCAGGTGTCACCATGGAAATATTTGCGAGGAGGTGTGAGGTTCATCGAAGAGGTGCCAAAGAACGGCAGCGGTAAGATTCTAAGGCGATTGTTACGGGATCTACTAAAGAAAAACATGCAGAGCAAACTATGATACCTTTATCAATACTTACTACATAGTATATCAATGGTAATCAAAATACTTCGAATAAAACAGTACTGAAGCTTTCCAAATGCATTTTGACTCTAAAATACCACATTATCTTAGTAAGTAGGTAGGTACCCTATTAATTAAGAGACTTCTTGCTTGAGATGTACTTTTATTCCAGAACGNTGTACTTTTATTCCAGGACATATTTCATTTCCAGTTTTAATAGAATTCTTTGTGGAACTATTACAGCCACATGCTGTGTCTTAATGCTTCGTAAGTGGTCTGGACAGTGCAAGATGTTTTTCGCAATCTTTTCAATTCCATTTTAAGCAACTGTAATGTATGCAATTTTATTGTAATTAATTAAATCCACTGTGGGCAGCAGTGCGAACCCTTATTAAAGGGTATAATAAAGCGAAGGTCGGCCTATTGGAGCCTCCAGCAATAATTGAGCCCCCGCCAGGACGGTTTGATAGCCGCCAACTTACACGGCATTTTATGTAATGTAAATATGTAGTTAAGTCGTATTACTGCTAAAATTACAGCAATACGTGACAACGGTAGGCTTGACTTGATATTGCTACCTTAAAGAGCACGATTCATAACATGAAAATCTACTGGTATGTAACTATAGACCAACATTTACTTGTAAATGGTAAACCCGTATTGTGTTCAAGTTAAATATTCATAAGCCCTTTGAATATACTTAGAACTTACAATCTGTAAATCAAAGTCAACAATAACACTAATACTTAATAGCACGAAATAATCATAATGCTATTATTCTCAAGAGATACCATAATATGTGATATTATGTTAGAGGTCAGAGTAAATTATGAACATGATTTCCATAGGCAAACCATTTGATGCTGTATTTATTTTCAAAGTTACACAATGATTGCTACTTGTGTTGTTGACTGGAGTTTCCAATAGTATCTATTCAAATGATTTGCAAGAGGTTACGTATGATGAAAGCGGAGAATAATGAGGAGCAAATAATTTGTAATATCTTACCTATTTCTTCAAGAGATATAAAAAATATAGTAGAACAGTCGATACACATTTACGAAGTGAGTCAACCGTTAGATCCGTTTCGATTTCAAGGGAAGGTTATTGTGTTACTCAGATAGTAACAACGGCACTATTTTTCTAAGAAAAGTTGAGAAATCTGTCCTAATCTTATGTCACACTTGGAATAATATTCATTTTGTCCTTCAATAATGGAAATCTAGAATTTGGATCATAAAGTCTGCTGTTTGTTACATCTAAGCTATCGTAACTACCGATTTATCGAGGAATAACTTATAGGGATGGAATAACCAATAAAAATAGTTTTCATGAGGACTCATGATTTTTCTCAAGTTACAAAATAAAAGTTGTCAAGAACACGAATACCTTTAGCAAGAGAACGGTGTCCCAGAGAACTTCAATATTTACGCGGGTAAAACCGCGAGAAAAAGCTAGCTATAAGTAAACATTGAAGGTTCGCGGAGCAAATTGTTGTGAGGCCGCGTCCGCGCCCACGCGCTACGACGGCGCAGGCGCCGCGTAGTAAAACCATACCTCTGCGAAGCCATATAAAACTTTCTAATAATACTTAGAACAATCAAGCGAAACATGTCTCGGGAATATACCTGTACGAGCTATTGTTCGTTGGCTCTTACTTTTTCTTAGTTCTGAATCTTTTCTGGCATCTTTGGTACTCAGAAGTAAATGTTTTCAGTTTCAGTTGATGCTATAAAAACTTTCCACGAAGAGTAATGCCACAGTTGAAGTTTACGAGTTTTGATGACCACACATCAACAAATAATAAATCAAAATGTAGAGACAAATCTGCTAAGACAACTTTCTACGCTTTTTATGGACATTTTGTTTAGTTTTTATAAGCTGATTCAAAACAAAATAGTTTAATTTTTAAAATAATGGTGGATGGGTTTTTAAAAGTAAATTTTCTATAAAATCGGAGTATGCAGTTTTTTAAGTACATACATATTTGAAAAGTTAAGTTTTTTTTATTAATTCATTGTTCTAAAACAGTTAATGTGACAGCCCTTACTGACCCATTGAATATCTATACTTCGAAACAATGCTGCCCCACTGCATCGCTGACGTCATTTGATACGAATCGATAAACCTTGCTACTAGCCTGGGGCTATTAACTAATCTGTGCTTGGAGCGGATTGATAATATCCGAAGTGTAAGCCAAACCGTCCGTTAATTGATTGAGACTGCGATCCTAAAATCGTGTGCTATCGTGGAAGATTAAGACTGTGGTCACAACACTACTATACCTTGCAATAAGATGCAATCAATTTGCTTACGGCTCTACAGTGATCAAATAAGTTATAAATGGCTGATTAAATATAATAAATATAACATTCTTATTCGCAAAGGATAGAGTAAAAAGTTGTTCAGTCAAATAATATGAAAACAATGTACCATACAAGTTTCGTACCAAAACAAGTTTGCATTGACATCGGCGAAGTCAATACAGATTGATCCGTATCTTACAAGAGGCAGAGGGATGGACAGCGAAAAGACACAAGTTCCGTCCTCTAGAGATATGTCGGGTGAAGTGGTCTTACCCTTTCGAACTACAAGTGTTATTAAGTAACAATTTATCAGAACTGAAATAAATCGTAGCAAAATAAATAAAATAAAGTTCTGTTGGAGTTACAATAATATTAATGTACTGCATGGTCTTTATTGCTATAGACATAATTGAGTTGTAGCAATTGTTTGTCAAACCCATCAAATTAATAGCTTTTACTAATAATTACCTGTCACTATCCTTGACAATAACAGTTTTCAAATCATTAAATATAATTAAATTGATAACGGTCGCTCATCATCTTTATGACAAAAGTCAATACGAAAGCTAACAATGAATACATAACCGAGAACACACATACCGCGTGTTTGTTTGTGCGTTTCATCGCCGCCGACACCTTATGGCTGTAAACATTTACCTTTCAACGCCGCATTCACTCGATCCAAATCGTAAAGTGACAGTGGGAGAGGCTCGTTCAAGAGCCGCATTCGGAGCTCGTTCCCACTATTGTGCCCCTGGTAGAAACCGTCACTCAAGAAAATACCCGACGAGTGTCTATAAAGACGGTAAGCGCACTTATTCGTCCGGAGCCAGTCAACCAACACAATCGCACCATTCAAAGTGCGCTCGTCTCCTGAAAATATGTGACTCCTCATCTCCTCCACGTCCCCCTTCATCACTTGCCGAACGTACAACTTATACGACATAAACACTTTCGCGTTAGGCTTGCCGCCGCGCTTTATCTTCCTTACGCTCAGAACCCTAGCCGTGAATACGTATTTAGATTCAGAAACGGCTGACGACAAAATCTCGTAGTCATTAGTTATCGTCTCGTTTAAAACACATTTGGAACCATTTATGTTTTTCTTGCGGTGGAGCGTGTCCCGCTTTTTCACGGCACCCTTTATGCGGAACTGCGCATGAATTATCGTGAAGCAGTAAAGCAATAATACTAAAAACTGAAGCTTCATCTTTATTGGGCGTGTGTGGATGCGTCTTGTTTTATGCGAGGCATAAATGGGTATAGATGCGGGCCATTTCAGCGGCCTTATACGTAGAAACTTTTGATTGAGACGGGTCGTAAACGCGGCACAAAGTTGCGCAAGTCCGCTTTGGCGCCACCGAGACGCGTGCGCCAGCGCAGCCTCGCGCGTAGACTGGGGACCTCGCAATTCGATGCAACCTTCATCAACGTAAACAAACGTGGTCAAACGTTAATGTTTTGCTTTGACTGCAATGTTGATTAGTCAAAGCTAACTAGTTTTGGATCGATCGGTTTGAGAACGGAGCGTTGTGATAGCGTTCGGTAGTTGAGTGAGAGGTAGCAACATGTGTTTGTAGTATTTACGAGGCGGTGGGCGGGGCCTAGGCAGATAGGGGCCGACGAGCGAGTTAACAGTTATTGCCGAACGAGGCGCCCAACGCCGCGCCACTGAATATTCATGCGCCCGGCGGCTGAGGGCTGAAAGCCGGGAACATCCCGGTAGCTCTTGTCGCGCTTTGTACTAATCTGCAAGATACTCCGAGCTGGGCGACATTTTTAAATACAGTATGAAACTAAGATATGAAAGCACATTTCTCTAAAACAGAATTTTAAACTTCTAAGGTAATAATGGAATGATTTTTTATTTTTATCCGACACTTATAAATAATGAGTTTTGTAAACCGTGATACTCTCACATGTATAAATATGGCAGGCTGTAAAATAATTAAGTACATTTGTTTAAAAAAGACGAATATGGTAAGACAGGCACTCCGCATCATTAAAAACGCACAAACTCGAAACTTGTAAATTGAATTACGATAAAAAAAATTGGCTGAACGAATCAAACCCTTGACATCGCTTTACGGCGCGCTCGCACGTGACTTTTTGTATTTCTGACGCAAACATTTTCTTTCAAGTAAGCACTTTCGTTCAACCCACCTCATTTCATTAACAAGTTATGTATTTGCATTAACGAGACTAGGAAAAGCCACTTCGCCCCATTTAGCGTGCGCTACCCCGGTTCCCCGATTCCCCACTTCCCCACGTCCCCACTCCCCGCCATGAACTAACTGCCTCATGAAAGCTTGAACACCCGTTGTTACACGGAAGCCTTCAGAATTTTATCTACAAACTGGAAAATTCCCCTCGTATCAAAATATGGATCTTTGCCGAATGGAAACATGTTCCCATCTTAATAAAGTGGCTTCCTTGATCAGTGACGCCGAAACGTGAAATACGGCTCGTGATTCATATACGAGTAAATATGGAGCGGTTTATTAAATCGTGTTTGATAATGTTCTTATTCTCGAAGAGAATTTCCAATTTCCTTTGATGGAAAATAACATTTTGATTTGGAAAGAAAATAAAGGTTTTGCTCCAAAATAATACCTTTAAGAATGTCCCGTTGAGATATACATATACCTACAGTATAAACATATCTCAAACACTTATTGAGTCATCAGAGAAAAGTACACCATACGT